CCGGGCTCTGCGGGGAGGCGCGGACAGCGGGGGCTGCTGCCCGCCCGCCGCGCGGAGCTGAGTCCGGGCGCACAAAGCTGCGCGCTCTCCGCCGCCCTCCTCCCGGGTTTGCGCTTCTGGACCGCGGCCGCCACCGAGCAGGCGGGGTGCAGGGTCCGCAGAAGCCCCAGAAGAGGCCGGGGAGACAGGGGCCTCGCGGAGCGGAGTCTCTGCGCGCATTCCCTCAATTATCCCTGCGAGCGAGGATTTTCAATTGCAGTGCTTTCAGCAGAGCCCGCGGCACCTGCCCAGCCTCCCTCCGGGGCTGGCACCAGAGCGGCGGGGAGAGGCCAGGTCGCCCCCACCCGGAGGCGGGTGGGGGGGTGAGGGATAGGGAGGGACTGGCTGGGTTCATTCGCCCGCCCGGCGCCTGGGTCCCCAGGTCCGGGGGATGCAGTTTCGGGGTCACGAGCTGCTTTCAAAAAGTTGAACACAATATTCGGAAACCCACCCGTAGGAATTCTCCCCCCACACGCGGCACAATACCCACTCCCCTCCCCTTTCTCATTCCTGCCTCCTCCGCTTCCTCCTCCTGCCCCTTCCCCCTCCCACCTTTCAGTCTATAATCCTTCCCCTACAAGAGAAAGGGATCGGGAAGAAAAGATGAAGTGTCTGTTTTTGTGTCCCAACCTTTGGGCTTTTTCTGGGCCTGCAGTGAAGGACCGCCCAGAGCTTCGCAGCTGAGCGGGAAAAGAACCCTTGGCCCGGAGGAAGATACAGTATAGGGAGGAAAGAGATCCCCGAAGTGGGGCTTGATGAGTCTTCCGTTTGGAGGCATATTTCTCTGCCCACCCAGAGCTTGGGATCCATTACCCCAAACTGCCTCTGGGGCAGAGCGAGCCAGTTTGGGCCCCTCGCCCTAACCAGAGCCTCCCAGTCCCCCTCCAGCCTTCCAGGCAGCGGGAGACAAGGCCTGAACTGCGCCTGAGCTCCAGGTTTAGGGACTAGGACAGACGCAGCTCCGGTCACGTTAGTCCTATTTAAATTCTCCCTCAATCTTTTTCTCTCCTCCCTCATTGAGATCTCCAAAGTGGTGTGGACCGGCGCCGCGCCTCCAGATCTGCATCGGAATGCAGAAAAGATCTTTTTTTTTTTCTTGAAAAAAAAAAAAAAGTTTTGAATTCCTCAATGATTTTTTCTTCTGGAAAGGCAGCTTAGGATAATTATTTCAGCTTTATTGAGGGCAGATTAGTTGAAGTCTGAGCGCTGCGTTTCAATACGCGTTGTACACGGGCCGACAATGTGGGCATTGTTGGCTACTGTGTGTGAATCCATTCAACATATACACTTTTTAACACCAAACCAAGTCCTGTCTAAATATACACAGTGCTGGGGAAAGACATCTCTGACCCCGACAAATCTGCGTAAATCACACTTCCATAGTTACAGAAGCCTCACAAAGGGAGACCGGCTCAAGATGCTGATTACATCTTCTTAAATGCAACATACCTAGGGATAAACACCCAGGCCTCGCCTGGGGGCTGCAGTGGCCAGAAGGAGGGTGTGCCCTCCGTGTTCTGTAGGCATTTTAGCCTCTGTTTTAGACTTGCGGGGAACTTTCCCTACAGAAAGATTAAGCAGTTTATTACTATTATTGTTATTATTATTTACACTATGAACAAAAAGCAATTTTCAGGCCTTATCTGTTTTCTCAGGTAGCCTCCAAAATTTCAGTGCTCTTTTGGGGCTGATGGGCCGGTCCGGAGGTCCTTCTGGTGTGTGAGGGGAGCTGGCATCTTCCTGACTCCCCCGGGGTCCAGTGGGCTCCCAAGTTTCTGGGCCTGGGCAGCACCTGCACAACTCGCAGAGGCAGCTGAAGGTGGGGAGCAGTGGGGGACACAAAGAGTCAGGTTACTTTTTAACATGAAAAGAAGTGTACTCTTGTTTCTCTAATTATAAAATACAGCGTGATGGAAAAAAATCAAGGCTGCTTGGCCGGGGGCCGGGAGCAGAGTACAGAGAATTCCAACCCATAAAGACGGTGTTGGGGTGAATGTAGCCCCATGGGCGCAGGCCAAGGAGGCCAGAGCAGCCTACCAACCCTTGATTCCGGGCTCAGACTCCCCAGTGTCAATTGCGCCTCCCAAAACTCTGGGATCCCATGGGCTGCTGAGCCCGGGCTGGTGTTTGGTGGGCCCTATGAGCTCATCTCCTTCCTTTTTGCCACTATGAATGCGCACATAGGCAGAAAGAGGCTGCCCCACTACACTCCATGTGCAAACCTTGCCGGCTCGGTTGGCCCCTGCCTTCCCTTGGCAAGCAGGCCACACCTTGTCCTGAGGCCGTGAGGAGCATCTTGTCTCCCAACAAAATCCCCCCTGTAACTGGTCATCTCATTCAACTACTCTGTGACCCTGGCTTTCAGAATTTCTGGGTCAACTTCTCTGGGGAAGAGGAAGAGGGAGCGAGAAAGGAGAGCCGGAGAAAAGAAGGGGCAAGAGGAGAGAAGGGAGAGAGAAGGGAGAGAGAGGGAAGTGCCGAGATCAAGAGTTGCAAAGATTTTTTAAAAATTCTCTCTCCCCCTTCTCCCTCCTACCCTTCCCTCCCCCTCCCCCCTCACTCCGGCTAAGTGGTAAAACCGTCCTTACGTTCTCGGTATTGATTGGCAGGGCTGACAGTGATTGGCAGCGGTTGCCGTGGCAACGCCACAACGACACGCCGCAGACCAATAGAAAAGCGAAACAAAATGTTTCAATGCTGCACTCACTGTGGATTTAGGGGAGATATGATGAGGCTGTTGTCATTAGGGCGATTGCTGTGGAATCGCTGAATCTTGACTCGGCGGTGGTTGGCTCTCGCTCTGCTCTCTCCCTCTCCCTCTCCGGCTCGGGCTCGCTCTCTGCGCGCGCGCGCCGGGCCGCTCTCCTTCCTCCCTCTCTATGTGGCTGCGCGGGTGTGTGTGTGTGTGGATGTGTGTGGGGTGTGGGTGTCCCTTACGTCCTTCCTCCTCCCCCTCCTCCTGCTCCCCCCTCCTCTCCCTCTCCTCCTCCCCCCTCTCCTCTCCCTCCTCCTGGTCCTCATCGCCCCTCTCCTCCTCTTCCTCCCCTCTCTTTTCCTCTCCCTGAATTTTCTCCTCTCCTCTCAGGTCAGTCCATGGTATTCCGCTCCCCCCTAGACCTCTATTCCTCCCACTTCTTGTTGCCAAACTTCGCCGATTCTCACCACTGCTCCCTACTTCTGGCGAGCGGAGGCGGCGGCGGGAACCGCGCGGGAGGCGGCGGCGGCGGCGGCTCCAGGGCCCCCCCGGAAGAGTTGTCCATGTTCCAGCTGCCCACCCTCAACTTCTCGCCGGAGCAGGTGGCCAGCGTCTGCGAGACGCTGGAGGAGACGGGCGACATCGAGCGGCTGGGCCGCTTCCTCTGGTCGCTGCCCGTGGCCCCCGGGGCGTGCGAGGCCATCAACAAGCACGAGTCGATCCTGCGTGCGCGCGCCGTGGTCGCTTTCCACACGGGCAACTTCCGCGACCTGTACCACATCCTGGAGAACCACAAGTTCACCAAGGAATCGCACGGCAAACTGCAGGCCATGTGGCTCGAGGCGCACTACCAGGAGGCCGAGAAGCTGCGCGGTCGCCCACTCGGCCCGGTGGACAAGTACCGCGTGCGCAAGAAGTTCCCGCTGCCGCGCACCATCTGGGACGGCGAGCAGAAGACGCATTGCTTCAAGGAGCGGACTCGGAGCCTGCTGCGGGAGTGGTACCTGCAGGACCCCTACCCCAACCCCAGCAAGAAACGCGAACTGGCGCAGGCCACCGGCCTCACTCCCACACAAGTAGGCAACTGGTTTAAGAACCGGCGGCAGCGCGACCGCGCCGCAGCGGCCAAGAACAGGTCAGTGGCGGATCCGAGGCCCGGCTGCAGCCTCCTGGGCCGGGGACTGGGAGAGGGGTTGAAATGTGGGCTAGCAGGACTTGGTAGGGACTGCCGCAGAACGCGGGAGAAGCCTCAAATCTCTGGCCAGTTGGAGAAAGTTTCCGCTGTCCCTGGCACGCGGAAGAGAGGCGGGCTGTGGGTTTATTGACTGCTTTGCCCAAGAGGGGCTTTTGCCAGGGCCCAGAGAGAAAGAGGGTGCATGCAATCCCGAGTGCCTACAGCCCATGATCCTGACCCCTGGGAGCTTCTGGAGCAGCCCTCCTGTCCTGCCCCCCAGCCAGATGCTCCTGTGATCCCAGAGACAGGGAAGGAAGGAAGGAAAGTACCCTTTGCCATGTTGTTCATACTCCCATGCATTGCAAAAAGAAAGTCGAGAGCAATTCACAAACGTCAGGCAGAATAAAGTGAGCCTGGGTCCCTGCCACAAAGGGAAAACACCGGTGGCCACCATGCAGACGGTCCTTCCTGCAGTGCAGGACCCCCAGGAGGAGAACCGGGCTGGGAGTGCCGAGGCCTAGTGTTTGTGAGTGCATGTGTTCAGCACCCTGTGTGGGTTCCGGGGCGGGCCTCCTTCCCCAGCTGAAGAACATCCCCCTTGGTCCCTTACATTGGGAAACCATCGAAACAGTCCCGAGGTGGGCGAGTTGGTCAGAAAGTCACGGAGTGGTACAGGGTTTGGCCATCAGTGGAGCTCGGTTGGGAGGAACTAAGAAGTAAACGACCTGGAGGAAAACACGGGGAATGGCAAAAGCAGTGGGGCAGGGAAGGAATGGAGGAAGCTGGTGAAGGCCCGAGTGCGGAGCCTGTGTCCCTGCTCAGCTGGAAAGGCTCCGGGGCCTAATAGTACAGTGGGGAGCTGGCCTACCAGCTGCTGACAGCTGCCGGAGGCTGGGGGCTGAGTGTGAGTTCCTGGGGTGTGTTGGGGTTTATGAGCCCGGCGGAGCCCATGGCCCTCTTGCTCCTGCCTGTGGAGCCCGGTTTTCGCCTGATGGGGGGAACACCCAGTGCCAAGCGAATGCCTTCTTGTGGGGAGAAGTCCGAGATACTAGGTTCAGACAGCCGGCTCCTAGCCTGGGAGCGAGGCAGCCAGTCACGACTCTGCTTCCCTCCTGCTTTTTCCTTCATCCCTTTCTCGCTCTCCCTCCTGGTGCCCTACTTTTTGCTTCCAGCTTCTCTGTTTTCTCTTCCCCGGATCCTGAGCTCTGAGCAGGGATCCAGGGAGCAAAACCTGCAAGTGCTACCCAGTGCTACCCGGAGAGGCTGCGGGTGAGAAACCCTCGGCCCAGGGTGTCCGCTCGCAGGGGAGGACGTACTGAGGGAGCCACACTGCTTGCTCCCTTGCTCTCTGAAGCCAGCAGGCTCAGCCAGAAGAGCTCTAGGGGATGGGGAGAAAGAAGCGCTCTCTCTGCTCTTCCGGACTCCAGCTCCGCGGGCGGCCGGCCTCGGCCTGTCCCTCTGCCCGGTGGAAGTCCGGTCCCTATCGGGGAGGCCCCGAGAGCTTCCCTGGAGAAGGGAGCCCAGAGCCAAAGGGCCGTGGAAGCTCTCTGGCGACGTTCAAGGAGCGGCTAGGTGCCGGGAGGGAGGAGCGCAGAGGGCACAGTTGGGGGCGCCGGCTGGGGGAGGCCGGGAGCGCGGTCGGTGGCAGGCCCGGCTCCCGGCGGCGCAGGGGAGCCTGGTAGCGGGCGCTGTGTCAGGACGGGCACGGCTCTCTCTCTCCCGCAGGCTCCAGCACCAGGCCATCGGACCAAGCGGCATGCGCTCGCTGGCCGAGCCCGGCTGCCCCACGCACGGCTCGGCCGAGTCGCCGTCCACGGCGGCCAGCCCGACCACCAGCGTGTCCAGCCTGACGGAGCGCGCGGACACCGGCACCTCCATCCTCTCGGTAACCTCCAGCGACTCGGAATGTGATGTATGATAGCCAAGGCCGCCCTCCTTCCCCTTCTGCCCTCCTCCCCCGCCTCCTTCCCCTCCTCCTTCCCCTCCTTCTCTTCCTCCTCTTCCTCCTCAGCCCCAGAACAAACCGAAATCAGGATACACAACCATACACACACACAACTCCACACACACACAGTCACTCCAGCCAAAAATATTTAAAAACCAAGAAAAATAAGAATTTAACCGCAAACCATCAACAACCCCAAACACCATCTACTACCACGGCCACCCCAAAGGACTGGGACACCGACAGTCACAAGCGCTGATACTGCGGGCAGAAAACATAAGAGAGGCGACAACTGTATACTTTCTAGGACAAGCACGGCTTCTCCTTTTGGTTCCCATGGACCCAGCACCCCACCTGCATGACGATTTATTTGTATCTGGGAAAATATTCTCTCTAGTTTAAATGATTTAAAAGAGTCGACTACACAAAAACCACCACCACGAGACGACGAACGCGAACCAGACAAAAAGGAAAAAAAAAAAAATCTGCCATCTCCATTCTGAATTTGTTTTTAAAGGAAACAGAAAAAAAAGAACTCTTCGAGAGAGAAAGAGCAAATGTTTCTCACCTTTTGTTGCTCTCTCTCCCTTTTTTCTTCTCTCGCTGTCTTTCTTTCTCTTCTCTCTGTTTTTAAGTCCAAGTATTGGTCAGACAAGATGCAATCTTCTGTTTTTTGTTCAGCAGACAATCATTTTCTTCGTAAGCACCTTTTCCTCGCTGTCACTGCCTGTGTGGGTACTGGTTATAAATGTGGAAAAAGAATAGTTATGACTGTAACAGATTTTTATTTTTATTTCAAAATTTTATATGAATTATGTATATCTTAATGATCGGTCATTTTCCCAGTTTGTAATATATGTGTAGAAATTGCCTGTATATGATATTGCTTTCTCTCCTCTCCCTTTCTCTTTCTCTTTCTTTCTCCTTTCTCCCCCCTCCTTCCTCTCTTCCCGTCCACCTGTATCTTTCTTTTTGGGGGGTTTCCCCTCCCACTCGGCGGTCCTGGCGTCAGCTTGGCAGTCAAGGCTTGGCGAGGCGGCCTGGGTTAGGAAGAGGGACCCCATCGCTAGCGAAAGCGGAGAGTGAGACTGTAGTATTCTTATGCAAAAGCTATTTCGAGTATTTCTTAGCTGCTTTGGAGGTATCTCTCACTCCCCATAGGACGCTTTTACTGTTATCTTAACTGCGTGTTTATCTATATGTAAAAACTTTCTAAAGCAAATACAGTATTCTCCATTTTCTTATCACTCCCCGAGACTGTTGTTTTTGTCCCCTGGCCTGAAGCCCCAGGGTGCAGCATCCAGGCCTTAGCTTTCCTCTCCCGTTCAGGGGGTCTGCTGGAGCTGGAGCAGGATTTCAGAGCTGGGTCTGAGCTTTTTCAGGGAATTGGGTGGGGGGAAAGAAAGGGGGATGAGACCCATTGGGATGAGAGTCCCAGCAGATCGGAGCAAAGGCGGAAAGGACGCAGGGGGAGGTTACTACCATAGCCAGTTTCCTCCGCACAAGGTGCAAGGCCCAGATCCACCCGGGCTGGAGCCCTTCCAGGCACTGCAGCCTGCCACTCAGCCCTTGTGGGTCTTGGGGGATGTGTTGGGATCTTTGGTTGTTGTTGCTTTGCTTTTTAAAAGGGGGACACACACAGTTGCCAAACCCCAGCGTCCATTCTCAGAAGAACTAACAGGTTTTGTCTTCTTCTTTGGGGGCGGGCAGAGGAGTAAGGGAGGAAGTTGTGTGCGGAGTTTAGGGCCTAGAACCAGAATGGACCCCCACGTGCGTGTCTCTGATGGGTCTCTGTCTCCCTAAAAATTTGTCGTGTTTTTTGGGATCAGCGTAGTCCCTCCAGCCCCTAAGCCACTTCAGAATTGGCTTATCTTTCAAATGAAAACCAGAAAAACATTGCTGCCTCTCACTAACCGTGTTCCTGCTGGTCCCAAGCCTTCCTACTCCACGCGCTCGCACTCGGGGTGGGGCTGGGGACACTTGTCCCCAGGGACGGTGATGCTGTGGGCCTGGACAGTCAGCACCCGAGGAAGAACCAAAGAGGTAATTTCAAAAAACTTGCCTTCACTTGAAAGTCCACTTTCCAAAGCAAGAAGCATTCGGGAGAAACGTGCCTGGAATTTTTCGTGCATTTCCAAACTCATTTTGACTTCTGATTTTCCTTTGTCCTCATCCCTGGCAGTGCCAGGGGGAGTTACACAGACAAGCTAGGCAGAAAGGCTGCCTGGCTTGGAGGTACCCTGGGTGCACAAGAGCTGGCATGCTTGGAGGCGGCAGGAGGGTTCCTACGCGGGCGTCCCTACTTAGAACTAGGGCATTCAGCCGACTTCTGGAGGTTCCAAGCTCCGCGGCCTGGCATGCAGGATCAGAGTCTGTGTGTTCAGTGCCTGCGACCACATTCCTCCTGCTGCCACATTTCAGGCAGTGTGACTCAGGTGGTAGGAGTTCGGGAAAGCCACTGTCTGAATTCCACCTGGTGGGGGCCTCTGTTCTAGGCTAAGGGACTGCGTTACCTGCTCTCATTCCTAGATAGCCAGTCATGTACTTGACCCAGAGCTGGGGCCTGGAAACCCCAAAGTAGTAGTAGTAATTGCCTTGGTGTGGACAGTCTGGATGAAACCGGATGGAAAGGGTGACACTGCTGGAGAATGACTTTGGGAAGGGCCTGTGCTGATTTCACCTGGGAGCAATGCTTTTTATCTGAGGGCAGGGGACAAACTTGGAAGTCGTTCTTCTTTCTCTCAACATACCTGACAGAAAAAAAGCAGACTTGGGATTTCCAGTGCCCATTCTTTCTCAGCTGAAGGAAACACACTAGCAGGGTCCACAGCAGCCATCAGCCTTTAGCCCTGTTGAATGTCACCAGCCTCTTGTCTATCTGTCTAGTTCATTATCTACTCTTTCACTCTCTCATCACCTGTATTTCTACCTAGGCTTCCACAAATACCATCGTTCAGCTTTGCACTTTCTGACCTCACCTACCAGTCCCTGTGAGAGAAGCATGTATTCTTGTTGGAGGTGGTGGACAGGTGCACAAACCTGAGTACACACACCATGCAAAGTCTGCGTACCAGAGGCTGTGTGTATGATGTTTCATATAAATGTATGAACAGAGCATTAGTATTTGCCCAGTCTATGTTTTCATGCATACTGCATAGCTTAGGCACAGTACTTGCATGAGGCTTGAGAAGTTCATATATTCCTAGTTATCCAAGGAATATTAGGGCGGCTCCAGGACACCTATACAATGTTCAGGTGTGTACAGGGACTTTCTGTCCCGTGGGCATGTGTCTTTTGAGTCTCAGTTCTCATGCAGATAGATGTGAGCTTCCTTGTTCGAGTCAGTCCACAGATATGACTAGACCCTCAGCAGGCTTTCCAGTCCTTTATGAAGGGAGAGGGTCACAATAAGTATTCATTCCAGAAGGCAGAAGGGGTTGAACCCTTGCCCTTGATATGTTACAGTGGAATTGGCTTCTGCCCCTTTAAATATGTGAGTGGGGAGAGAGGCCCCTTTCTGGCCATGTTTTAATTTCACTAGCTTCCTGCCTACTCATTCTGTTTCTGGGTCCCCCCAAAACGTGGTCAGTGCTGTCAAGGTTCCAGGGTCCTTGAGGGCGGAACTCCAGAGCAAGTCCAGGGTGAGGCCCTGCATGTGGAAAAGCCATCTCAGCCACGGTGTTCAGCCTGCCTCCTGGGGAGGCTACAAATTGCATCTGGGCCAGGGAGCGCGTGCATCAGCATGTCCTCTGGCATGGGCCTCTAGGCCTGGGTCAGGCCAGATAAGTGGGCCCAAGTGTTAACCATCAGTCCCCACTGTCTTGGCATACAGCAGCCAGTGGGCTGGCTCCTCTCCTGGTGTCAGAGGGTTGGGACCCACTTCCTGGTGGGTCCAACCCCAGCCCCAGCCCCTCTGCTCTGGCTCAGAGCATTCCCGTATGTCTAGGACTCTCTGTACCTGGGCTGCCTAGTCTATGGTGTAAGAGCTTTGAGGAACAACAGCCAATTTGGCCTTCCTTACCTCCCTCAAAGAGTAACAATGGCAATCCCGGATTTGCATGGCGAAAGCAGAATGGGATGTGAAACTGAGAAAATCTATATCAAAGGCCTGACCCTTAGAAGCCACCACCTGCCAGAGGAAATCTACCCCTTCAGCCAGGTCACTTCTGTCCTGTTACCTTCCCACCCCTAGCCCCAGCCCGGTAGCCTCACTTGGTTCCTCCTTTTGCCCTCCTCCAATCCCACAGAATCAACTGCCCAGTGCCAGCGCAGTTGATTATCCCCAGCAAGACACACAACTGATTAAAATGAAATGACCCGGAAGCTGCCACAGCACAGGGCTCGGATGCTGATCAATAGTGGGTCTGGAAGCACACTGGCGCAGAGAAGGCTGGGGCTGGGGTCGGGAGTGGTGGGACTAGGCAGGGGTGGCGGGACTTGGGGTGTGGGGCTGGCTCCAGGGAGGCACTGGCAAGGCGCATGAAGCAGGCTGCACTGTGAACCACAGCCTGGGCTGTGGAGGCAGAGTAGCCACCCTGCCTGCTTGCGAAGGGAAACTGGCCCACAGCACATTCTGGACCCAGGGCATCCGCCAGATTGCAGGAGCTCTCAGCCTGGTCTCCGGCCCATTGGATGTGCTCAGCCTCCCCTGAGCAGGAGACAGCCCTGTTTCTTCTTCTTTTAGTCTTCTGTCTCTGTGGCCCTCTCGTCCGGCCTAGGCCTTTGTGTGGCTGTCACCTGGAGCACTGCCTGCTGCCTTAGGGCTTTCATGTGCTCTGCCTGTCTCCTCTGTCCTCAAGCACTGGGGCTGAGACTGCTGGCCACCAGGATGCTGGGCCGAGGGTGCTCACACTCAGGCCCCCTCGACCTCTCACTGCCAGACCCCCTCGACCTCTCACTGCCAGACCCCTTTCTGGCCCCAGCGGAGCTGAGCCTTCCCTGCCCCGGTGCACGGGCAGGGGTGGCGGTCTGGCCCCAGGAAGGGTGGGGAAGGAAGGCGAGGGGAAGCCAGGGAGGAGGGGAGCGGTGCTAGCCGGGCTCCGATTTCTCTGGTCAGCTGAGCACAACTTTCCATTCGAGTGTATTCATGCAGTGGCTGATTGAACTCTGCTGTGCCAGGCGGGGCTCCGCGGGAGGGGGGCAGACACAGCGAGGCTGACAGAGGCTGCACCGCGCGTGTGCACACACACACACACACACACACACACATTCAGCATCCCCCCCTCACATATTCTACGCATACCTCACTGCCAGCCAGTTCAGCACGAACACAATACTGACTTTCCTTCCGTCACCCTCACCTGCCCCAAGGTCAATTTCCCAACACCCACAGCCCTCCTTTCCCTTACCACACAAGGCCTGTCTTCCCACGTTGCCCTTTGCAGATTCTGTCCTGGTCCTCAGACACAGACACAAGCATCCTTCCTCCTCTTTCTCCCCTGCAGGTCCACTCACCAGGACACACACACTCAGAACCTGCAGAGATGCACACATGCCTTCCACGCTCACAGTCACACTGCAGACCTA